GGGGGGCGTGGTTAGACGGAAGAAGGCGTGGCCGAGGGCGGAGTGATAGGGGGTGTGGCCAAATCTGGGCGGGGACTGGTGGGGCGGGACCAGACCGAATGAGGGCGTGCCCTCAGGCAACTGGAGTAGTCGGAGGTCTTCGAAATTGACCTCGAAGCACGTGGCCTTTAGAGGGGCTCGAGCTGGGCATGCATCATCATCGTGAAAGGCTCTGACTTCTTGCCCTTCAGGAGAAGACTGCGAGCTGGACACCGAGGCTGGCCGCTGTGTGCCAGGTGTCTGTCGCAACGGGGGCACCTGCACCAACGCACCCAATGGCGGCTTCCGCTGCCAGTGCCCAGCAGGCGGTGCCTTCGAGGGCCCACGCTGTGAGGTGGCAGCTCGCTCCTTTCCTCCCAGTTCGTTCGTCATGTTCCGCGGCCTACGGCAGCGCTTCCACCTCACATTGTCCCTCTCGTAGGTGCCCGCCCCATGTTTCTGTGCACTTCTACACTGTCCCTACCTACGTGTCCCTGACTCAGAACCCTGATGTCCCAATGAGACACCGCCTCCTTCTCTGACCCGCTAGGGTGTCACTGCACTGGCTTCTCCTGTCTTCATCCCTTGCCTTAGCTTAGGCTGGTGCCTGGCTGGAAGGTGTGAGGTCACTTCCACTCCTAACGCCCCCACTCCCCCTACACCCAGGTTCGCAACAGTGCAGTCCAGTGGGCTACTTTTCTACAATGGGCGCCTGAATGAGAAGCATGACTTTCTGGCCCTGGAGCTTGTGGCGGGCCAAGTGCGGCTCACATATTCCACTGGTGAGTACTCCTATGGTTGTATGTGACTGTGTGTTCGTGGGGTGGCTGGAAGATACAATCATGGCTCATCTTAGGTTTTCCTCACTGTGAACCTAAACAGACAACAGTGAGGACTCAGCTTTGTGTCCATTTCTTATGGGAAAGTCCATCTCTCCAAGAAGTGTGTTTCGCTTGTGAGTGGCTCAAGTGGTAGAGCACCTGTCTAGCAAGCATGAGGCCCTGGGTTCAAATATCACCAAAAAAAAAAAAAGTTAAAGAAGTGTGTTTCTCCATGTGCTCAGGGGCACTCTGATCCAGCCAGTGTGGTCACCAGGGGGCATACTTGTCTGATGCATCTAGGATGACCCTGGGAGTAGCACATGAGTGATGTGGGGTGGGGCAACTTAGCAGGCAGTCCAGACAATGCTACACATGCACTCCTCCCACAGGCGAATCCAATACAGTGGTCAGCCCCACAGTTCCGGGGGGCCTGAGTGATGGGCAATGGCATACAGTGCATCTGAGATACTACAACAAGGTAGGCATCACCCCTGGCATAGTGTATGGGAGGAGTGAGGAGACTGAATTCTGCTCCTCAGGGATTAACCTAGGGGCATTGTTGACTGCTGTGCCTGGGTCTTTAGCCCCGGACAGATGCCCTAGGGGGTGCTCAGGGCCCGTCCAAGGACAAGGTGGCTGTGTTGAGCGTGGATGACTGCAATGTGGCTGTAGCTCTGCAGTTTGGTGCTGAAATTGGCAACTACTCATGTGCAGCTGCTGGTGTACAAACAAGCTCCAAGAAGTGAGGCCCCGTACCCCTGATCCCTGTGTCCTTTGCCTACCAGAGCCCACCCCACTTTTCACATACCACATCCTTCACCTCAGCTTGCCAAACTCCCCATCATTTCCCCAGACCACCAGATTTTCCTCTCTCCTTAAAGATTCTGGAAGCCTACTTCCCCTTGCCGCCAATCCTGTTTTTACCCCTGATTTTGAGCTCCCATACATTTCTCAGATGCAGTCCCTAAGAATCCAAAGTCTCCACTCCCCCACCCAAGTCTCTAATGCCACACATCAATCCTTGTCCCTTAATCTCACACAAAACCTTCCCCCAGAATGCTGAGCCTGCTGATTTCACTTCCCAACCCCACTCCTCCATCTCCTACCCTACCACCCAAATGCCTCACTCCTTCATCACAGTCCACAATCCCAGCTCCCCCACCTTTTTCCAGATCATCTGCCCATCATGATCTCTCCTTTGTACCCCTACGACTGAAGTAAGGTCCTAACTCCTTCCCTAGCCTGGACTTATCCTCTTCCCTTAATCATTCTTCCATCAGTCCTACCCCCTACTTCCTGTGGCCCCCAGGAGCAACCCTACTCTGGTCTCAGTTCCACCAATGACACAGGCCCCTGACCCCCAGGTCCCTGGACCTGACGGGCCCTCTGCTCCTGGGGGGTGTCCCCAACCTTCCCGAGAACTTCCCCGTGTCCCACAAGGACTTCATCGGCTGTATGCGAGACCTGCAAATCGATGGTCGCCGACTGGACATGGCAGCCTTTGTTGCAAACAATGGCACAGTAGCAGGTAGGCCAAAAACTTCCCCTAGCCCTACTCATGGCCCTGTCCCATCATAAGGAGGGGATGGAGGGGTGCTTGGGGTGGCTCCATATCTCACCCCAACCCATTCTCCTCTGGCAAGCGCCACGCTATAGCCTAACATTTAGGGCCTTATTTGTCCCACACACTCCCGTCCATGAGAGAACATGAGGCTGAAATCATGTCTGTTTTCAGCCCCTCTGGACTCCAATATCCTGCCCAGCACTTAGGGGTCACTGCCGCCCCTAGTAATATTTTCATATCTTTATGCTTTCTTCTCCCCAGGCTGCCAGGCCAAGCTGCACTTTTGTGACTCAGGCCCCTGCAAGAACAGTGGCTTCTGCTCAGAGCGCTGGGGTGGCTTCAGCTGTGACTGCCCTGTGGGCTTTGGTGGCAAAGACTGCCGGCTTAGTGAGTGGGCAGCATGGGGCAGGAGAGGCCTACAGGGTAAGGTCTGTTTCCTAGGGTGGGGCCTATAACCCTGCTTCTCTTATCCTGTCAGCTATGGCCCATCCCTACCATTTCCGTGGCAATGGCACATTGAGTTGGGACTTTGGAAATGACATGGCTGTGTCTGTGCCATGGTACCTGGGACTGGCATTTCGGACACGGGCAACACAGGGGGTCCTGATGCAAGTGCAGGTTGGGCCACACAGCACGCTCCTCTGCCAGGTGTGTCTGTTCTTTTGATCCTCCCTTACACCCTTAGTTTTCGATTTCTGATGAGAGGTTCAGGTCTGATCACATAGCATACTTCTCCTCCAAGTGTCCTGCTCTATACCCTGTCCCTTGACTCTTTTCCCTATCATGACATCCTCTGCAGGTACAGGGCATAAGCATAACTTTCTCTTGTTCTAACAGCACCAATCTGTGACCTCTGGTCCTGTCCTTTGTCCCCAACCCATATCAGCAGCATGATGTTCCCTTGGCACAGTGTTGTGTGTGCCAGGTATAGCTTTGACTCTATTGTTATGACTTTTGGTTTTCCTTATCTCTGAGCCCTCTGATCTCATCTCCTAACCTCAGCCCAATTTGGGGCTCTAACCCCAAGGGTTGTACATCTCTACCCACAGCTAGATCGGGGGCTGCTGTCTGTGACAGTAACCCGGGGCTCGGGACGTGCTGCCTACCTCCTGCTGGACCAGGTGTCTGTCAGTGATGGCCGGTGGCATGATCTACGGCTGGAGTTACAGGAGGAGCCTGGTGGCCGGAGAGGCCACCATGTCTTCATGGTCTCACTGGACTTCAACCTATTTCAGGTCTGATCTCTGACTCCAGAGTAGTTTTATTTTCAGCCTTCCAACCAGACCTATCTTATTTAACCTCACCTTTGGTATGGCTCCTTTCTACTCTCTCCACTGCACCAAATCTGATATTCTTCCCCCAGTCACCTTGTCATATTCTTGCTCTGATCCAGCCTTTCCAGCCAGGTTGGTCCATTGTCAGGTCCTCCTTATGTCAGAGAAGTTACCCAGATTTCTGACCTGATCTTGGGGTACATCTAAGTCCAGTACTTTGCCTCACTTTTGAAAGCCCCTTCTGATCTTTGCCCCAATCCCTACCTACCCCAGGTTAAAGTCATGGAATTTCAAAGTCTACTCTGGGTCCAAGAGTGAGAGGCCTGTCTTTATTATGCATCGCCCATACCCAGACAGTTTCTCCATACTTGGGAGCAGCTCTTTCCCAGAACACATCCCTGTACAGAGAGACAAAACATGGTCATGCAGGGCTAGAAGAAGGCCAATACTGACTCTGGGGTATGGCAGAGGTTTATTAGGCACCACCCCCCTTAGTGTTGACTATCCTCCTCCTCCAGGATACCATGGCCGTGGGGAGTGAGCTGCAGGGCCTGAAGGTAAAGCAACTCCACGTGGGAGGCCTGCCCTCCAGCAATAAGGAGGAGATTCTTCAGGGTCTGGTTGGCTGTATCCAGGTGGGCATCAGCATGGGAACATGATATGGGGGCATTAGGATCAGTGGTCAGATGTCAGCAGTTACTAGGGACCTGAAAGGTCATAGAGGTTGGCATGGGATAAGGGATAGATGACCTAGAGCAAAAAGAGACAGGTCAAATCTTTCTGTGGTGTTGGAGGTAAGAGCCTAGCATAGATTATCAAATGCCATTAGGAATCTGTGTCAGAGGCAGCATAATTAAGGATCCTAGAGTGGTGCTGAATTGGTGACTTTGGGAGACTTGGAGTTTTTAGGGGCCTGGGAGAGGTTGCATGTCAGGGATCATCAGACTGGGTGGCTGACTCTGACGCTGAGGTGCTTTGATATGGGTCTCACTCCTTGCTGGCTGTTTCCATAGGGGGTGTGGCTTGGCTCCACACCCTTGGGGTCCCCAGCCCTGCTATCTCCCAACTACCGAGTGAACGTGGAGCCTGGCTGTGTTGTGACCAACGCCTGTGCATCTGGACCCTGTCCACCTCATGCTGACTGCCATGACCTCTGGCATACCTTTTCCTGTACCTGCTGGCCAGGTGGGCCTTGGGTGGGTGGAATAAGGGTGATCTGGACAGGAGCCAGGAGCTTATGGTGAAGACAAGGGGACTGGAGGGCCTGAAAAAGGGGAAACAGAGAGAGATAGGTACCTACTTCCTTTATGCTCTGTGACCTGTGTTCTATGCTTCCTGACCTACTATGTAGGTTACTATGGCCCAGGGTGTGTGGATGCCTGTCTCCTGAACCCCTGTCAGAACCAGGGGTCATGCCGGCACCTCGCAGGAGCTCCCCATGGCTATACCTGTGACTGTGCAGGTGGCTATTTTGGTCACCACTGTGAGCACAGGTGAGAGACTGGGGACTAAGATGATGGAAAGACCTGGTGGGGACAGGGAGGGTCACTGAAATATTGTGGAGGCACTGATCCTCATCTCATTCACAGGATGGACCAGCAGTGCCCACGGGGCTGGTGGGGAAGCCCAACCTGTGGCCCCTGCAACTGTGATGTTCACAAGGGCTTTGATCCTAACTGCAACAAGACAAATGGGCAGTGTCACTGCAAGGTTTGCCTGGCCCCTGACCCCTGACCTTTAAACCCTTCCTTGGACATGATCCATGATTATCCAGCTTGCTGTCCTCTGTAACCTAACTTGGGCCCTAACCTCTTATTTGTGTCCTGTGACCTAGTTGCCACCTCTTATCCTTGGCCCGTAAGTTATTCCTTGTCTTCATTTGAGGCTTGTGTTCCTTTGGGCCTGTGAGCCTATTCCCTTTACCCTTTGCCCTTGGTTTTTACTCATTTCCCAAGCTTTGACCTAAGACCCCTTCCTTTAGCTCTGACCTCTGACTTCAGGCCCCTGACCCATCCTCAAACAGGAGTTTCACTACCGACCACGGGGCAGTGACTCATGCCTCCCGTGTGACTGCTACCCTGTGGGCTCCACCTCGCGCTCATGTGCACCCCACAGCGGGCAGTGCCCCTGCCGCCCAGGAGCCCTTGGTCGCCAGTGCAACAGCTGTGACAGTCCCTTTGCAGAGGTGACAGCCAGCGGCTGCCGGGGTAAGCAAGCTCTACCCAGCTCCACTTGTAGAGGGCTGGTTCCAGCATGCTGCTACTAAAGAAATTGGTGGCATATTTGGCTCTAGAGGTGTAGGACTCCGGAAAGTTTCTCCTGAGCGAGACCAGTTGTACTCAGGGAATCCCACATTTACCCCAAGTACTTTGCTGACCTGTTATAGAATCTAACAGGCCAGCTCTTGAGAAGCCAGCAGAGGAGGCTGTGGCCCTGGAATGGGTAGTAGAAGAGCAGTAGATGTGACTGTCATTTGCCTCAGACCCTGACCACCTGGCTTAGTACTTCCTCTCTCCCTAGTGCTCTATGATGCCTGCCCCAAATCCCTGAGATCTGGTGTTTGGTGGCCCCAGACCAAGTTTGGTGTCTTGGCTACAGTGCCATGTCCCCGGGGGGCCCTGGGTGAGTATGTAGTGGGCAGGGGCATTGATGAGGGTGGGAATGGGCCTGTTTTCTGACTGCTAGAGTCACCTCTTTTCCTAAATTGGGTGACTTTGTACCTGTTGAGAGGTGGGAGTGGGGTGGAAGTCCACGTGGGCCCATTACTGTCTCCTAGGGGGTCTGGGTCCTTCCCTACTCCCTCATTAAGCCTCCATCTGTTTCTCTTGGCTTCTGGGCAGGATTGCGGGGTGCAGGTAAGGGGTACGTGTTTGCTCAGGTGCGCTGCCCCCTCCCACTGCCAGAGCTTTTGCAGATCCCTCATGCTGCTTAAGGTCTTTGCAGCCCCCTCCTTGCTGCCTGAGGTCTCTAAAATCTCCCAACTGCCTGAAGTCCTTGGAGGCCACTTTCTGTTGTCTGAGGGCCCTTGAGACCCTTCTCTGATGCCTGAGGTCCTCAGAGAGCTTTCTTATCTCCTGGGGACCCTGCGGATCCCTCCCCACTTCCTATAATCCTTGCAGACTCCTCCCACTTTCTGAGGTCCCTGCAGGCCTTTGGCTGCTGGCTGAGGTCACAAAAGACCCATCCCCTCTGTCTGAAGACCTAACAGCTCCTCCCTGCTGTCTGAGGGCCTTCAGAACCCTCCCTGCTGCTTGGGGTCTCTGCAGTGGCTGGACAGAGATCGTGTGTGTGCATGCTTGTTTATGTCTCTTTCTGTGCTTGTGCATGTGTCTGTCTTTCGGGGGACAGGGTTCTGTATTTAAGTTAGGGTCCCTTTTGTTGGTAGCTGCAAACTCCCTTAAAGCCCAGATCAATTCTAATTCAACTTCCATCCCAACCCCAATGACAAGAGAAAGAGATGACAGCAAAGTCACCATTGAGGCAGTTAAAACTTGTGTGAGGACCCTCCCACCCCTACCTCACTTGGGTCACACAATACTCCTAGAAAACCTTGTCTGTGTCAGTGTGTTTGTGTGTGTACAAGAGAGCACATGCATCCACACATTTGTGTGTGCAGCTGTAAGCATCGGTATGTATATGTGTGTGAATGTTGGCCTGTCTGTGAACTTGTCCCAGCGCAAATGTGTGAGTATGTGTCTGCAGCCCATCCTTGTGCTCTCCCTTTTGTGGTTAGTGATGAGGATGGTCCATAAACCCCTCAGGAATTGACAGGCAAGCAGCTGGGACCCACCTGGGCTTGGGTTGCAACATCCAGGCCCTTGGATGCCTATGACTCTGGCCTCTACCTCAGAGCTCCCCCTGGGATAGGAGAGGGTGCTGTGGTCACCTTATTAGCAAAGGTATCCAGGCCCCTGGCCTGACCTGAGGTTACCTGCTCGTAGGTGCTGCTGTGCGGCTATGTGATGAGGACCAAGGTTGGCTGGAGCCCGACCTCTTCAACTGTACTTCCCCTGCCTTTCGAGAGCTCAGTCTGCTGGTGAGACTCTGCCCAGACTATGCCCTGCACCCAAGACCTTTAGGACTGTGGTTGGCCCCAAATATACTCCAGCCATTGACCCACTATGCTTTTCCTGGTTGCCCTTTAATCCGTCCAAGCCTTTCTCCCCGTGAAGCTCTTGAGAAAGGCCTATAGGACCACAGAGCAATCACTCTCATCCTTGTCTTGGCAGCTGGATGGCCTAGAGCTGAACAAGACTGCACTGGATACTGTTGAGGCCAAGAAGCTGGCTCAGCGGCTGCGGGAGGTGACTGGCCAGACTGACTACTACTTTAGCCAAGATGTCCGAGTCACTGCTCGCCTGTTGGCCTACTTGCTGGCGTTTGAGAGTCATCAGCAGGGCTTTGGGCTGACGGCTACACAAGATGCCCATTTCAATGAGGTGTCGCTTCGTCCTATGTTCCCCATTCCTTGGCCCTGGCCCCTAGCTCCATGCTTCCTGGCTCCCCAACTCCCCAGCTCCCCAGACCTGGTTCTCAAGCTCAAGCCACTCCATTCTGGGGAAATGAGGGTCCTGGGCTTTTCCTCTTTCCTTGTTCTCTCCAGCCCTGGCTCCTTATTTCTTGGTTTTCCTCTGAACACCTGGACAGATCTCTCATGCCTGCTCTGCCCCTTCATCCATCCTCACCAAGTGGCTAATCCCAACTCTTATCTCCATCTTTCCAGAATCTGCTGTGGGCCGGCTCTGCACTGCTTGCTCCAGAGACAGGGGACTTATGGGAAGCACTGGGGCAGCGGGCCCCCGGGGGCTCCCCAGGCAGTGCAGGGCTGGTGCGGCATCTGGAGGAATATGCAGCCACCCTGGCGAGGAATATGGAACTCACATACCTGAATCCTGTGGGGCTGGTGACACCCAACATCAGTGCGTAGTGGGTGGGGTGGGGCAGGGCAGGGGCTGTGAAAGGCAAGGACCTGGCGGTCCAAGGGGCTGGGGCAACTGATGCCATCATTAGTGGCAGGAGATTGTGCCACCACTCTCAGTGCTTTATAGGGACAGGCTGTGTGCTGATAGCAAGGCAAATGAGGCTTGTGAAACTTGGGTATAGAATAGGATAGGTGGGAATGGTCCTTGGCATGGGGAGGAAGTCCTTGATGGGTGTCACCTTCCTCCTGGGCAGTGCTCAGCATTGACCGCATGGAGCACCCCAGTTCTACACCAGGTGCCCGTCGCTACCCCCGCTACCATAGCAACCTTTTTCGGGGCCAGGATGCCTGGGATCCTCATACCCATGTGTTACTGCCTTCTCAGTCCCCACGGCCATCCCCATCTGAAGGTAAGAGCCCTTAGGTGATCCCTGGGCCAGGTCCTGTCTCCCAGTGCCCCCAAGCTAAATACCCTGTCACCCTCTTGCCATTTCTTCCCTTGCCAGACCTCTCCCAGATGTCCTAAGACCTTAGGAGATCAACCCTCCACCATGGACCTTGCCATACCCTTACCTTACTAGATCTCCCTTATCACAGATAACCTTCCCAGGCCTTTAATGTTCCTTAATAGGCCCCTGCTTCACTCCCCCACCTTCCCAGTTTTGAACTTACAGGAAAGAGATCCCCAAGCTTGACACTGGGTTGAGGTTGAGAGCTAGGTTTGTGGGTGCTCAGGATCAGAGGTCACTGATCTTGGCTCTTCCCTCTCTCCTGGCAGTACTGCCCACAAGCAGCAACACAGAAAATTCCACTGCCTCAAGTGTGATCCCCCCACCACCACCTACAGAGCCTGAGCCTGAGCCTGGGATCTCCATTGTCATTCTCCTAGTGTACCGCACGTTGGGGGGGCTACTCCCTGCCCAGTTCCAAGCTGAGCGCCGGGGCGCCAGGTACCACAGATAGAGCTACTCCCAGACTTCTCACCCCTGAGCTTTCTGTGAGCTTCTACCCAGTCCGTACTCCCTTTGTAGGCAGATGAGCAGGTCCACAGATACACAGAGACGCTCCTATACATAGCTCCAGGGAACCCATCCAAGCTGGGTTCCATGTGAATTTTCTCTGGAGTTGTACAGAGTAGCAGAGGTGCTGGCTTGACAGTCTTAGAGCCACAGACGGGGGCTGTCACACACAAGAGGGGTAAATGAGCCAGGTACAGACAGGCCAACTGGCTGATAGAGACAGACAGATTGATTGGTGGGGTCAGGTGGGTGGGAGGGGGAAAGTTTGAGGCAGATAGTTGCAGACCATCTGGAGCTGCTCAGGCCTCAGATCCCAGTCTGGGCAGTGCATCTGAAGCCTTGGCAGCCCAGCAGAGGCTAGGGGCATTCTTAGAAACAACATCTGCGCTGGGGGCATCCTGGACCCTGGTAAGACATAGAAAGTGGTATGAAGCCAGTGAGAAGTATGTGGTCAGGGATTGGGAAAGTCAGCAGCATCCAAACCCAGATGGGTGTCTCCTCAGGCTTCCCCAGAATCCTGTTATGAACTCCCCTGTGGTCAGCGTGGCTGTGTTCCATGGACGCAACTTCCTAAGGGGTGTCCTGGAGTCCCCAATCAGCCTTGAGTTCCGCCTGCTACAGACGGCGAATCGGAGCAAGGCGATCTGTGTGCAGTGGGACCCACCTGGCCCGTGAGGACCCCATTCTGGAAACCCTTTGTCCCCGTTAGACCCCAAGAAGCCAACTGATTGAACCTTTGCCCCTGAGGCCCTATCTGTGCCACTATGCAACTAGGCCCATTAGGAATGCTGCTCCCCAACTCCAGGCATCCTCAGCTCCACCCCCCCATGACCTCTCACAAATCCCTGCCTGCAATGGGGCACTCCCCAGAAAGTAGGTCTAACTGTCCTGTGGCTACAGGGCGGACTACCATGGTATGTGGACAGCACGAGATTGTGAGCTGGTGCACAGGAATGGATCCCACGCACGGTGTCGCTGCAGTCGGACAGGCACCTTTGGGGTCCTCATGGATGCCTCCCCCCGTGAGGTGGGGCTGTGTTCAGTATCCTGAGAGAGTGGGAGGTTGAAGGAACAGGGAGGTTGTGTCTAACACCCAGTAACCATCCCTGTCCACAGCGGCTGGAAGGTGACCTGGAACTGCTGGCTGTGTTCACCCATGTGGTTGTGGCTGTGTCTGTGGCTGCACTGGTACTGACTGCAGTTGTCCTGCTGAGCCTGCGTAGCCTCAAGTCCAATGTGCGTGGGATCCATGCCAATGTGGCAGCTGCCCTGGGGGTGGCAGAGCTCCTCTTCCTGCTGGGGATCCACAGGACCCACAACCAGGTGCAGGGTCAGGGCCGGGGACCTGTGTCCTGATATCTCACCTGGCCCCAGAAGGCCTAGGGCCAAAGCTCAGGGTCCTAGGTCAGGGATACTCAGGTTGGGGACAGAGTTTGGGGCAGGATGCTGGAATAAGATGCTGTGGTTTAGGGGCTGGGCAGAGGTGGGATGCAGATGTCTGAGGTGGGGGGGGTCAGAGGTGGGGTGAGGCAGGAGAGGTCCTGACACCCCCCTACCCTGCCTTCAGCTGGTGTGCACTGCAGTCGCCATCCTCCTGCACTACTTCTTCCTCAGCACCTTTGCGTGGCTCCTGGTGCACGGCCTGCACCTCTACCGCATGCAGGTTGAGCCGCGCAATGTGGACCGAGGCGCCATGCGCTTCTACCATGCCCTGGGCTGGGGCGTCCCCGCTGTGCTGCTGGGTGAGGCTATGCCCATTTGCCCACTCAGGGATGTGACCCCCAAATCCACCCATCACATGGTCTGACCCCTGATGGTGCCATCAATCCTGATCATGACCTCCAACCTCAGCCCCCCATGCCATCTACTCAGGGAGGAGCCTGCTCGCCCTCACCCCATCTCCTCCCCACACATGGGAGGGCCAGCATTCTAGAACATACCCCTCGGTCCTACCCCTTCTCTCTCCAAGGTCTTGCTGTTGGCCTGGACCCTGAGGGCTATGGGAACCCTGACTTCTGCTGGATCTCCATCCATGAACCCCTCATCTGGAGTTTTGCCGGCCCTGTCATCCTTGTCATAGTGGTGAGTACCTGGTACTTGGTACCACCTGTATGCACCTGTGTGCTTTCCTCAGGGGAGGAAGGGAAGAGACTTGTAGCAAGTATGGTAGAGTCTGCTGAGGTGTGCCAGTGGCAATCCACAGGCTTCCTGTACTCCTTCCTGTTCTTCATCTGGTTATAGACTGAACTCCCCATTCAGCTATGTGAAGGTAGGGGGCATTGGGTCAGAGATTAGGCCCTTCTTCCTGCTTCTTTCTATATCTCTTTCACCATCTCTCCATCACTCTCTGATTCCTTATCTCTGACTTTTCCTATGATTTTAAGCTCCTCTATCTCTTTTTTTCTCTCTCTCTCTCTCTCTCTCTGTGTTTTGTGTGTGTATGTGTGAATTTCTTACTGGCTCTGCTGCCTCTCTGTGTGGTCTTGGTTTTCTGTCTGTTTCTCACTATCTCTGTCTCTCTCTCTCTCTCTCTCTCTCTGCCCTGCTCGGCCCCATATATTGGCTGTGGGTCCAGATGAACGGGACCATGTTTCTCCTCGCTGCCCGCACATCCTGTTCCACAGGACAGAGGGAGGCCAAGAAGACCTCTGTGCTGTGAGTTAGCTGGCTGGGGGAAGCAAGGTGTTCTCAGATGGCAGACACTCCTGGGTGGGGTCTGGGGCCCCCAGAGCATCCCTGGTATAGGGCAAGCTCCAAATTCTGCACTAAGGGATAGAGTTATACTTGCCCTGGCCTGTGGTCCATCTCTGTGCCTTCTGGCCCTAAATGTGCTTCCACTCTGTTGTCTCTTGGTCCCCTGGGTCTTTCCAGAATCTCCCATGGCATAAGTGACTCACTTTTTTCCCCTGCTCTGTTTGCTTGCACCTGTTTTCTATGGCCCCATATGCCTCTGTTTTACCCATGTCCTTTCATGGCTTTATGAATGCTCTTCTAGTTCTTTGTGTGACCTCCGATCTTCCCTAGTGTCCTCCTGAGACCTCCGTGTCCCTTTGTGACCCCTACATGTCCTCCTGTGCTCCTGTTTAAGCTCTGCTTGACCCTTATGTGTCCTCCCATGTCCTCACAGCAGGACCCTTCGCAGCTCCTTTCTGCTCCTTCTGCTGGTCAGTGCCTCCTGGCTCTTTGGCCTCCTGGCAGTCAATCACAGTATCCTGGCCTTCCACTACCTCCATGCTGGACTCTGTGGCCTCCAGGTACCTCTGGCAACCTTTCCCTGCCCCAGACCTAGATGGGGCTTAGTGAGCCAGGTGTAGTCCTAGGCAGGGGATTGCCCCAAATATTGAAGCTCACAGACTGGATGACTACTGCCAGACTGGGTGCTAAACCAAGACCAGACACTGGCTTTCGCTGCTGACCTCAGGCCTGGATCTGATTCTCACTAGACACTGATGGCAGACTGGATACTGATCTGGATCGACCTACACCAAACCTGTGGCTCCTGGCTTCTTGTTGATATGCCCTGACTGTTACTGACTAGTCATTCCTGCCACTTGGACCTCTCACTGTTCACAGACTTTCCATGACTCCCTTTCTGAGCCCCTCTTGGCTCATACTGACACTCCTACAATGACTGATCCCCTCCACTGCTGACCAACAAGGGTCTCTACTGGCCTCTGATTGACCCCCTAGTGGGCCTACTGTGACTTTCTCTGACTGTTTTCTGATCTCTCTGTGACCTTCACTGACCCTTGCTGATCCACAGGGCCTAGCAGTGCTGCTGCTCTTCTGTGTCCTGAATGCAGATGCTCGGGCCGCCTGGACACCAGTCTGTCTGGGAAGGAAGGCAGTGCCCGAGGAAACAAGGCCAGCACCAGGGCCGGTGAGGGGCTGCCAGGGCTAGGGAGTTGGGATGGGTGCCCTAGAAGGCTCAGGTCTGAGGCTTCTTCAGGGCTGGCTCATACCCTTGTCCTGCCAACCTCCCCTAGGGGCCCGGGGCCTACAATAACACAGCCCTCTTCGAGGAAAGTGGCCTCATCCGCATCACTCTCGGTGCCTCCACCGTTTCCTCTGTGAGCAGTGCCCGCTCCGGCCGGACCCAGGACCAGGACAGCCAGCGGGGCCGCGGCTACCTCAGGTGAGTGGCCACCCATGGCTTAGTGCAGTACTACTTCATCACAGATTGGCATTACTAGATCCTAGGATGGGTTACTGTACCCATCTTGGCCACATGCTGCTGTTTCTGTCCCAGATGTTTCCTGCCATACACCTAGGGACACCCTCAGTCATGCCACATGGAACTAGACTCAAAGGACTCCAGCTTCCAAAGCACCTTGTCACATCCCTCTTTTATGGGGGGGGCTCCTTTATTTCTAGGGACAATGTCCTGGTTCGACATGGCTCTGCTGCTGACCACACTGACCACAGCCTCCAGGCTCATGCTGGCCCCACTGACCTGGACGTGGCCATGTTCCATCGAGATGCTGGTGGAGTTGGAGCCCTGGGTCAGGGAGGAGGGAGGCAAAGGGTCTCTCCTTTATCCCCTTTCTTCTGCCACAAATTGGGAGTAGTAGCTGGCAGAATTGGGACTAGCTTCCCCCAGGTCTCTGCCTTAGGAGGCACCTACCCAACCAGCCCTTGTTCTCCCTACCTACTCCTAACCCATCCCACCCCTAATAAGTCCCAGCCCTGCTGTTCCTAGCCCCACTTGAAGCTCTGCCCAGTTCCCTACTCCAAGCTCCTTGCTGTAACCATCTCCAGACCCTCAGCTCCGGCCCCTTCCTATCCCCCCAAGTCCCTCACCTCCTCAAGCTAGTGGTATACCTTCCTTCTGTCCTTCCCAACTTCAGGCCCAGACTCCGACTCTGACAGTGACCTGTCCTTGGAGGAGGAAAGGAGCCTGTCCATCCCATCTTCAGAAAGTGAGGACAATGGCCGGACACGAGGGCGTTTCCAACGTCCACTCCACCGGGCAGCCCAGAGTGAGAGGCTCCTTACCCACCCAAAAGGTGATGGGAGCCCTCTGACCCCATGGGTGATCAAGGGACACACCATGTTTCACTTAAATATGATGCAAAGCTCTTGCCATCTCCTGAGGATGCTTGGGTTGATGCAGTGGAAGCCTTTAAGGTCATCATTGGGACTCTACACGCCATCCCCATCCAACATTGTACTGGTGCTTGGGAGCCCTGGGAGCAGCCTGGGGATCAGAGTGATGAGGTCAGGAATGTTACAGAGTGACATGATACCCCTCCAGCCTCTTGGCTTCCCTATAGGTTAGGGTTCAATATAGTCTTCCTGACCCCTCAGCCATCAGGTTCCCCATCTCCAGTCTCTGTTCACTTCTGGTTAAGGTGAGGGCTTATCAGTAAGCCATGGCTTCATTTATCTTGAAAAGACACCCTCTGGTTCCAAGCTCTGCTCAGAGAAAACAACTAGCATTTGAAGGGTCAGTATGGTTAGGGATCACTGAGTCTGAATTGCAGGGATCAGGAGTCACTGGGGTCAAGCCAGAGCCACCTGTAATCTGCCTTGGCTCCACAGATGTGGATGGCAATGACCTCTTGTCCTACTGGCCAGCCCTGGGAGAATGTGAGGCAGCCCCCTGTGCCCTGCAGACATGGGGCTCTGAAAGGCGCCTGGGGCTGGACACCAGCAAAGATGCAGCCAACAACAACCAGCCAGATCTGGCCCTGACCAGTGGGGATGAAACCACCCTGGGCCGGGCCCAGCGTCAGAGGAAAGGTATGGTCCCTGACTCTTGGCCTGCACTGCAGGAACCCAGAGCTGCTAATGCCAAGACCCAGGAGGTTTTAGCTTCCTGATCCTAAACCAAGAACTCCTCTTCCTTTGATCTAGGAGCTTTCTGCTCCTCTACCCTGCTTCCTAGCCTCTAGGGCCAGCCCCCATCTTGACCAAAGAGTTCTTGCCCACCCCCTGTGCTGACCCGCACCACAGAGACCCCCATGGGCCACCCCACCCCACTCTCCCAATCTTGGTCAGCTTTGCAAAGACCTCAGGAACTGCTGTCCTTAAGTGCAGAGCCCTTGCTCTGATCTGGAAGGTTTTCATCCCCCTACCCTGCTTAACAGGGATTCCCAAAAGTTGTTCCTGCACCAGTATAAGAGGTTTCTGCCCTCGGCATTGTATCACAGGGACCATGGGGACTGCTTTTGTCCCAACCCAGGGGATCCCTGCCCCTTTGACTCAGGCCTGCATTGCCAGGACCTGAGGGCTCTTCTGATCTAAGTGGGGATTTATACCCACCCCTGCACTGCGGGGATTGCTCTGACCTGATCCAGAAGCTTACTGTCCCCCAATTCAGACCCCAGTCCTGTCATATGGGACACTAAGATATGCCAGACTACAGAGCTAACTTTGAGTATAAATCATTCATTCATTGCTGTATTCAGGCAATATTAAGTTCTTCTGTCTGTGGGCACTGTGGGGTGGGGCAAAAACCCGTTGGGACCCGGTACATCTCAGGTGCTTGCAGGGCATTTGTGGAGCAGAGGATGACAGACACACCCAGAAGTAGCTGGATACACAGGAGTCTTCTCAGACCCCCAGGATTGCCTCTGCCGCTTCCCAAAGGTTTTCTTCTCCCAGCACTGTGACAGGGATCCCGACAACTGTGACATCCCTAGACTCAGGGAATTCCTTCCCCTCCACACACACACACCCTGGCCCCCATTCTGTTCCTCCCATAGGCATCCTGAAGAACCGTTTGCAATACCCATTGGTGCCACAGACCAGAGGTGCGCCCGAGCTCTCCTGGTGCCGGGCAGCCACCTTGGGACACCGTGCTGTGCCAGCCGCCTCTTATGGTCGCATCTGTGCTGGTGGGGGAACAGGCAGTCTTTCACAGCCAGCCAGTCGCTACTCTTCTCGAGAACAACTGGACCTGCTTCTGCGGCGGCAACTGAGCCGGGAGCGACTGGAGGAGGCCCCTGCGCCTATTCTGCGTCCCCTGAGCCGCCCAGGTTCCCAGGAACGCCTGGATACTGTGCCTGGCCGCCTGGAGCCTAGAGATCGGGGCAGCACCCTGCCACGGAGGCAGCCACCCAGGGACTACCCTGGTGCCATGGCTGGCCGCTTTGGGTCACGTGATGCGCTGGACTTAGGGGCACCCAGAGAGTGGTTGCGCACACTGCCTCCACCCCGCCGCACCCAGGACCTTGACCCTCAGCACCCTCCTCCTCTACCCATTTCTCCCCAGCGGCAACTCTCAAGGGACCCTCTTTTGCCATCCCGGCCCCTGGACTCTCTACCTAGGAGCTCAAACTCTCGGGAGAGACTGGACCAGATGCCTAGTCGGCATCCCTCACGAGAGGCCCTTGGACCACCCTCCCAACTGCTCAGAGCTAGAGAGGACCCAGCCAGCGGCCCCAGCCATGGCCCTTCCACGGAGCAGCTGGATATTCTCTCCTCTATCCTTGCCTCTTTCAACTCCTCGGCCCTCTCCTCTGTGCAGTCCTCAAGCACCCCCTCGGGCCCTCACACCACTGCCACGCCTTCTGCTACAGCCTCTGCACTTGGGCCCTCCACGCCTCGCTCTGCCACATCCCACAGCATTTCAGAACTGTCGCCTGACTCAGAGTAAGCTGGGCCTAGCCACCCTAACTTCATCAGTTTAGGGTGACTCTTGTATGCTTCACTCTGGGTTCTGCCACAGAATGGGGTAGGGGCTGGCAAACAGGTGTGAGTTACCACAGGCTCAGCACAGCCAGGAGGCCACAGGCTGGCAGGGAACCTGGCAAAAATCTGGCAGGGAATGGGAATGTGACTAGCAGGCACTTGCCAGCTGTATGATTGGGGCCAGCCTCCCTTTCCCACACCTCCCAGACAAGTACTTTCGAAGGGGCTGGAGCTAATGGAGGGGACAGTTAGGAGTCAAGGCATTGAAGTTGGAGGTAATCTGGTGTTTGCAAAGGGCAATGGGGAAAAGAGAAGTCTGCTCCAGAGGCTTTGCCTAAGGGAGTATATGGGATGCCAGGATATGCCAGACTGAAGAGCTAACTTTGAGGATAAAATCGTTCATTCATTGCTGTATCCAGTCAATGTTAAATTCTTCGTTTCTGTGAGGTAGGGCTCAGAAGTAGAGTGGTACCTTTCAGGTGTCTGCAGGGTATTTGTGGGGTTGAGGATGGCAGACACACCCATCACACTCAGTAGCTGAGTATACAGGAGTCTGACAAGGAATAATGGGAATAGGGAGGAACAGAAAGGTGCCATATCTTATAAGCCATGGAGATTTGCATTTCAAGATGAAACAGAGCCCAGAGCTTGTGGCTCTCGCCTATAATCCTAGCTATTTGGGAGGCTGAGAATGGAAGATTATGGTTGGAGGCCAGCCTGGCAAGAACCTATCTCCAAAATAACCAGAGCAAAAATGAACTGGAGGTGTTGCTCAAGCAGTAGAGTACCTGCTTTGCAAGCACAAACCCTGAGTTCAAACCCCAGTACTGCCAAATAAATAAATAAATTATAAGGAGAGAAATGGCTTTGGGAGTGGAGCACGGGACCAAAAGTACTGAACAAGACCCAGAGTTGGGAGAAGACAAAGGGAGAAGGGACAGGCAGGGGTATGCTGAGGGGCGGTGATGAGAGTATTGACCTACTGCATGGGTCCCCCTGCACTTTAGCCTTGAGTTCTAGTTGTGTGGAAGGAGGACTAGGGAACTAAGCAGGGGGCCCAGACTCTGGAGTCACATAGAAGTCAGTTTCTCTGGTTCTCAGTTTCCTTATCTGTAGAAACAAACTCCTTGAGTGTGAGATTTGTGAGACATTATCACAAGTGCCTAGCATACATATGTACATAGTCGATGTTTGCTAAGCACTTAGAGAAAGACTTAGCAGACAAAGGAGACTCACTGATGAGTCTGGGGGTCCAAAACAGATACGTAGAGGACTCAGAACCCTAGGGTGATCATGACCAGGCTAAGGGCTGAGAGGCAAGGATAATGTGGGAGATGAACGAGGCAAGGTCTGGTGGAGGAGCCTCCAGCCAACTGACTCAGCAGTAACATTTGATTTCCACATTCAACTCTACAGAGTTCCCAGAAGTGAAGGTCACTCCTGAGGGGCTGAAGTGCGGTTAAGGAACGGCCAAAGGCGATGGAAGACTTGATCTGACTGAAGAGACTTCAGGAGTTGGGGGTTTGATCCCAAGGCAGCCTCCTGTGAGCCCTCCCACAGGTCTCTGTTGCAGCAGTGCAGTACAGAGGTTCCATGCGCATCTGTGAGCATGCGTGTGACAGGTGCAGGGGGGCGGGGCTGAAGGGAGGACTTTTTTACGTTTTGTACCTTTGTAACCAGAGAGATATGCTTATGTTATTTTTCAGCTTTTCTGTCTCCCGGGGGTCTGAGGCTTGGCTGGGAGGTGAAAGGGGACAGAGGGAGGACAGATACCGTCTGGCCCCATTTGGGTCCCTAGCAAACCAGATCTTTTTCTCTCATCTTACTGGGGTGGAGTGGACAGGTAGGTTAGGTTCCCTCCTCTCCCACTGCATCCCCAGGTTGATCTGAAGATTGTCAGGGCCCAAAGTGCAGAAATGATCTTTGCTTTTTTTCCAGTGCCCCACAGGCCAAACTTCTGGGGTTAAGGGTTGGTCTTGGAAACAAGGGTCCTCTAACCCCCTCATGGGGGTTTGCTCATGCCGCCTCTCCCTGTGGGTGTGTGTGTGTTTATTACATGGAGTCCCTGCCACTTACTGCCTTATGACCTAGGACTGATGCTGTGGGTGCTGGTGGAGCAGCAGAGGTCATGTTTACAGAGCAAGGCTTTCCTTTCTCCCTTGGGGAAGGGCTCAGGCTTCTACTCAGACATTCCTGCAGAGGGTAGGTAGAGGGGTCACTAGCCTGCCCTTGCCTAGCAAAAGTTGTCTGTGGTGCCATTTAATTCCCTGACACTGCTCCCTGAGGAGTGGGTGAGCACAGGGAGCAGAAACAAGGGAATTTAAGACCCAGAATGTAGGTGCCTCTGCCTCCCATGTTTACAGGATTCTCCCTGGCCCCAGGCACCCAGGCTGCAGAAGTGACTCATTTCCACCCCTCCTTTATATAAACCCTTATAAAGGGAAAAATGACTGTTAGGACCCTGTTCACAAAACTCTCAACTTTTGTTACTTTGTCTGATGTCCAGAACTGGGGACTTTAAAATTTTGTTACTTTGTTTACAGGTGGAGATTTAAAAAAATTTTTTTACTTTGTTTACAACTTAAAACTTTGAAATTTCACATTTGTTTACAGTTGAGAATGTTTTTTCCTTTGTTTACAAGAAAAGGTAGGGAAAATGGGAGAGTGGCACGGATGACCCACCTGTAAAGACCTGGACCTGGCCATCTTGAGGGGGTTTCTAACCCCCACCTCTCTGAGGCCAAAGGTCAGTGCCCAGTCCCTTGTTTAACAGCACACCCAGAAGGCCTGGGAGTAGGCATCTTCTGACCACTGGGAACAGTGGTTGTTTAGGGTTCAGGGGTTCTGTGCAGATCCTCCATCCCTACCCCATTCAATACTCTTGGGAGGCAGTTTCCAAGGAGATTAAAATTCCTTCTTCACTGACTGGTGCCACCAGCCAGGACCCCAGCTCTCCTTCCCCAGAAATGACCCCAGCCCTCCAAGGGCTGGGTGGCCTGCTGTGGGTGGAAGAGTGTCCTTGCTATATCCTAGGTTCTGTAGATGCCCCTCTCTGGGGTTCCCCTCCCCCTCCAGCCCAGTGGCCCTCTTTCCTGTCTGTGTAAATTGTTCCGTGAAGCCGCGCTCTGTTTTGGGAATAAACTTCTATAGAAAACAGTTGTTGCCTCTTTCTATTGGGAGTGGTGGTAGGATGGTGGCTGTGAATGATTCAGACCAGACTGACCTTTTGGAGGAATCTAAGCCCTCCTCCCCCAAGAATATCCAGTTATTTTTAGACCATTTCACAGGAGATTTGGACCAGGTTCCCATCTCCTTCACTATGAAATTTGGCCTCTCACCTTGTGATTGGGACCTGAAGTTGGAGCATAGGTACTGGGACTAGGGTGCCAAGGGAAACCCCCCTCCCTGGTCATAGCTGCAGTAGACTTACTGTCCAGGGCCTGATCCCTGGCTTGGCATTTGTGGCCTTGCCCAGTTGTGAAACCAAGCTGCGTTGGTGGAGTGGCCCAAGTGGTCCTGCCTAGGAAGTGGGTGAGGGAGGGAAACAAACCTAGGAGTTGCCTCCTGTGTTTGGACAGGGAATAGGTAACCTTTCTGGCCTAGGTAAATAACCAGAGTTGAAAGGAATGGCTTGAGAATCTCTGAGCCATCTCAGAAGCCTGCCTGGTCACAGAGTGAAAGCCTGAGAGTGGCGCCCTCAGCTTGGAGGCGTGGGATGTCCCACAGAGGTGGATATCCCTCAGCCACATACCCACGCTTCCTGATTATTGAGGAACCCCGCAAAGCCAGGATTTAGGATCGGTTCCATCACCCTTAGGGGCCTTCAGGCGCTTGGGACAGTTTTTGTTTTCAGTTTCGTCCCATCTGGCTTCAGGAAGGTTAGCAAGTCAGAGGGTTGACAAGCATGAGCCAGGGCGCCGGGGAGCAAAGGGTTAAACCTTCCTTCTCTGTGCGGGCCCCTACCAAGGAGCTAGTTAGGCCCCGCCCCCAGAACGCTGATTGGTCCAAACCTGCCCAGGCTGCTGAGAGATGAGCCCCTGGGAGCGTGCGGCCGGCCACGTCGCGGTCCTGGCGCCGCCTTCTGGCCGGTAGTGGTTTCTCGTCCGAGATGTCGAAACAGGACTGGCAGCCTAGGGGGGCCATGGAGCGGTCAGATGAACCTGGGTGAGTGCAGGGCGCAGGCCAAGTTCCGCGTGTCCGCGAGGTGTGGGTCGCCGGCCAGGATCAGTTCTGAAGGGGAACCGCCA